TTGTTATCTTTGTCATATTACGTTTGTGTGTTTGCTTGTTTGTGTGTGTGTGTATGTGTGTGTGTGTGTGTGTGTGTGTATGTGTATGTGTGTGTGTGTGTATGTGTGTGTGTGTGTATGCGTGTGCGTGTGTGTGTATGTGTGTGTGCGTGTGTGTGTGTGTGCGTGTGTGTGTGTGTGTTTGTGTGTGTGTGTGTGTATGTGTGTGCATTTGTGGAGAGAGAGAGAGAGAGAGAGAGAGAGAGCAGATAAATACAGAAATCCCAGAAGCCCACAGACCAAACAAACACACAAACAGGTAAAGACAAACAGACATAAAAAAGTGAATAAAAGAAAACGGAATGAAAGAAAACGAGAATGCCAGTAAACGGATATGAAAGAAAACGGAAAAGGAATAGAAAACGGACACGAAAGAAAATAGGAAAACGGAGGACAACTAAACTAAAAGGACATCGCCAAACAAAACAGCAATAATAATCACTTATCTAATCTTTTTCCTTTCTTTTTCGTCCTCTCCCACCACAGAAAAAAGCGCCTCCGCACATCATAAGTCCGGCTGAAGAGAGAAAATGGAACATCGAGTACATAGAACCCTATGGCAGGTGAGTATAATCACCTTATAGTGTCAGCGGATAATTCGTACTTTTTTTAATATATTTTCCAAATGGACTATGTATTATAATTAAAGCCACTCCCTATCCCACAAAAGAATTAGGGATTTTATTTTTATCTTAGGATATTTTCTTTCACTTTTTTGTATGAGATAATATCAAATTCCATCATAATAACGAATCACCTTCATCTGTCTTCGTCACTGTCAACACTATCACGAACATAATCCTCTCTGTATGTTGTCATTATTGTGCAAATCACATATCCAGGTATTTGATCCTGCCGAGAGTAATGTTAATCGTAATATTATTGAAATAAATAATGATAATGATGATGATAATAATAATGATAATAATGATAATAATAATGATAATAATGATAGTGATAATAATGATGATAATGATAATAATGATAATAATAATAATAATAATAATAGATAGAATGTTAAAAGCAATTTCTCAGTATCAATATTGGCTTAGCTACGTTACACCTCCGCGCCCCTTCTGCTTCGCTTCCTCTAGGCCAGGTGACCCCATCTCTTCATCTCTCCTTATTTAATATTCCTTTCTTCAGATCTTTCCTTCAGTCCTTCTTCGTTGCCTTCCCCAAACCAAGTAACCCCTTCCCACATCACCCTCCCCCCCTTCTTTTCCTCATGTCTCCTCCTCACACATCCCGTACCTTCAGACATTTTCCTCATTCTTTCTTCGCCTTCTCGTTCCTCCTTCGTTTTCTCCCCCTTCGCCTCCTTCGTTTTCTCCCCCTTCGCCTCCTTCGTTTTCTCCCCCTTCGCCTCCTTCGTTTTCTCCCCCTTCGCCTCCTTCGTTTTCTCCCCCTTCGCCTCCTTCGTTTTCTCTCCCTTCCTCCTCTCTCCTCCTTCTCCTCCTCCTCCTCATTCCTTCACCTCCATCTCCTCCTTCCTCCTTCGCCTCCTCCTCCTTCCTCCTTCGCCCTCTCACCTCCTCCTCACTCCCCCTTCGCCCTCTCACTCCTCCTTCCTCCTTCGCCTCCTCCACACTTCTCCTTCGCCTCCTCCTCATCCCTCCTTCGCCTTCTCCTCCTTGTTCCTTCGCCCTCTCATCCCTCCTTCGCCTTCTTCTCCTCCTTCCTCCTCTCGCCTCCTCCTCACTCCTCCTTCTTATTCCTCCTCCTTCTCCTCCTTCTCTTCCTCCTCCTCACTCCTTGTCATTCCTCCTCCTTCTCCTCCTTCTTCCTTCACCTCCTTCTCACTCCTCCCCCGCCTTCCGCAGGTGCACGGTCGCCACGAGGGACATCGCGGAGGGGGAGGTGCTGTTCGTGGACCACCCAGTCATCACGGGGCCCAAGCAGAACTCGGAGCTCATGTGCCTCGGCTGCTACAGGCAACTGGAGAGCTGGGATAATTACCGGTGTACTAAGTAAGTGATTGGGATGGGGTGGGGATGGATAGGGATGGGTTGGAGGGCGTGGGGTGGGGGGGAGTTGATGAGGAAGGCACGTGGTCTTCCGTTTATTGTGTTTTCTGTTTGATTTTGTGTCCGTTTTTTATGTTGTTTTTCCCATTTTCTTTCGTGTCCGTTATTTTTATTTGCTTCTGTTTCCGTTTTTTTTTTTTTACAATGTTCTTGTGTCCATTTACTTTTGTTTTCTATTTGCTTACGTTTCTGTTATCTGTTTTTTACCATTTTTTTGTGTTCGTTTGCTGTTGATTTCTATTTGCTTTCGTGTACGTTTTCTGTTGGTTTCCACTTGTTTTCGTGTCCATTTTCTGTTCTCCATTTACTTTCGTGTCCGTTTTCTGTTGTTTCCTCCAGTTTTTTTTAGTGTCCGTTTTCTGTTGTTCCTATTTTCTTTCGTGTTGGTTTTCCATCCTATTTGTTTTTATTCCTTCCATTTTCTTTCGTATTAATTTTCTGTTTTCCCATTTTTCTTATTTAAGATTTTTTCTTTACGTTTATATCACGATCCCTCGCCAAACCCCCTGAAAAAAGGTTCACGGGACACTGGTTATGAATCACTGCCCTAAACTGTCCTTCGTGAATTTAGATATTAAACCGCTTCTCTTTTTTTTTTCTTTTTTTTTTGATATTGATATATGTTGGGATTGTTGAACAGATTTTCCGTACTTCTTTTTTTACACTCGCGATCCCTTTCCTAAGCGTCATCCACATCCGGGAACCCCTGACATTAGCCTTTCCATTTATGATTTTTCTTTCGACGTATTTTAGATGTTAAGGAAATTATTTGTGAAAGAAAAATAAGGAAAAAAAAATCTTCAGCAATCACATAATATTATCTTAAAATCCTATAGCAAAATTTGACATTGGCGGATAAGATTAGACATTTTTAAGATCCTAAGTATTTCGGACCAATAATAGAAAAATAAGAGATTTCCCTTCGGTCCTCTGGATGCAGTTACCCCCAAAAAAGTTAATAGGCCTATATATATAACACCTTCCAAGTTTTAAATTGACATTAACCTTAATCTAATAATAACAAGACCCTTTCAGGACATCAAACCATTAAAAAAAAACACCTTATCCACACAAACCACCTAAAAAGCACCCCCATCAAAACAAACCACTTAAAAAATAACCCCCATTAAATACAAACCGCCATAAAAACCAACCCCATTAAAAACATAAAACACCAAACCCATTATAAGAAAAAAAAAGACACACACACCCAACCATTTTTTCTTCAAAAACCCGCTAACCCGCACTCCCCCCCCCCCCCCCCCCTTTTTTTTCCTTCGTCAGGTGCGGGTGGCCGATGTGCGGCCCTGAGTGCGAGAGCCGCGGTTACCACCTCCTGGAATGCACCGCTTACCAGGCCGCCAAATATAAGCCGAACCTGAAGGACTTTGGCGACGATCAGTTCATGTACGAGTCTATGCTGCCTCTGAGGTGAGTTTTTTTTTTTTTTTTTTTTTTTTTTTTTTTTTTTTTTTTTTTTAGGGGGGTGGGGTGGGGTGGGGGGGGGAAGGAGGGGAGGTTTAATGTGGGATTTTGTCTTTATTCTGTGAAGGTTTGTGTTATGTTGTGGTGATAATTATATATTATGTCAGGGATTAAATCATATTATATACGGATTTGTGCCATGTATCCAGATCTGCATTTTATAACATAAAGAATTATGTAATATATCAAGAATTATATGTATCATAAATTACTTCATATGAGATAATTTTTTATCAAAACTATACAAAAACAGCAAATTCCACATTCCCCCCAAAAAAACAAATGTACTAACATCTCTCCTTCTCTTTCTCCCCTCCCCCCCCCCCAAAAAAAAAGGTGCTTCTTCCTCCAAAATTTCGAGAAGGACAAATGGGAGACCTTGATGGCGATGGAGAGCCACAATGACCTCAGACGCGGCACCGAACTCTGGGAGAGGGAACAGGTAAGGAAGAGGGGGAGGGGGTAGAGCAGAGGGGGGAGGGGGGAGGAGAAGAGTGGGGAGGGGGTAGAGCAGAGGGGGGAGGGGGAGGAGAAGAGTGGGGAGGGGGTAGAGCAGAGGGGGAGGGGGAGGAGAAGAGTGGGGAGGGGGTAGAGCAGAGGGGGAAGGGGAAGAGATGAGGGGGGAGGGGGTAGAGATGAGGGGGGAAGGGGTAGAGATGAGGGGGGAGGGGGTAGAGATGAGGGGGGGAGGGGGTAGAGATGAGGGGGGAGGGGGTAGAGATGAGGGGGGAAGGGGTTAGAGATGAGGGGGGAGGGGGGAAGGGGTAGAGTGAGGGGGGAAGGGGTAGAGTGAGGGGAAAGGGGGAGGAGAAGAGTGGGGAGGGGGTAGAGCAGAGGGGGAGGGGGAGGAGGAAGAGTGGGGAGGGGGTAGAGCAGAGGGGGAGGGGGAGGAGAAGAGTGGGGAGGGGGTTAGAGCAGAGGGGGAGGGGGAGGAGAAGAGTGGGGAGGGGGTAGAGCAGAGGGGGAGGGGGAGGAGAAGAGTGGGGAGGGGGTTAGAGATGAGGGGGGAGGGGGTAGAGATGAGGGGGGGAGGGGGTAGAGATGAGGGGGGAGGGGGTAGAGATGAGGGGGGAAGGGGTAGAGATGAGGGGGGAGGGGGTAGAGATGAGGGGGGAGGGGGTAGAGCAGAGGGGGAAGGGGGTAGAGATGAGGGGGGAAGGGGTAGAGATGAGGGGGGAGGGGGTAGAGATGAGGGGGAAGGGTAGAGATGAGGGGGGAGGGGTAGAGATGAGGGGAGGGGAGGAGAAGAGTGGGGAGGGGGTAGAGCAGAGGGGGAGGGGGAGGAGAAGAGTGGGGAGGGGGTAGAGCAGAGGGGAGGGGGAGGAGAAGAGTGGGGAGGGGGTAGAGCAGAGGGGGAGGGGGAGGAGAAGAGTGGGGAAGGGGTAGAGCAGAGGGGGAAGGGGTAGAGATGAGGGGGGAGGGGGTAGAGATGAGGGGGGAAGGGGTAGAGATGAGGGGGGAAGGGGTAGAGATGAGGGGGGAGGGGTAGAGATGAGGGGGGAAGGGGTAGAGATGAGGGGGGAGGGGGTAGAGATGAGGGGGGAAGGGGTAGAGATGAGGGGGGAGGGGGTAGAGATGAGGGGGGAAGGGGTAGAGATGAGGAGGGAGGGGTAGAGATGAGGGGGGGGAGCAGTGGGGGAGGGGGTAGAGCAGAGATAGGGGAAAAGTGGGGATGAGTTGGGGAGGTATGGGTTGGGGTAAATAGGAAGAAGAACTTCTGTTAAAGGCCTTGACTGTTCCCGCTATGCGTATGTATCATACACATTCATGTCTAGATGTAGATACGTGTCCATGTATATTGTTGTTTACTTTAATCAATACGATGTAATGACATTCTTAGCAAACAGTAAAATGTATTGTTTCTGTAGTTGTAATATTATAAGTACCGGTAAAAGCTGGTAAGTGAACCTAAATCGAACTGTAACAGTAATTATGATTATTATTGTATTGGTTTATGACTAATATTGCACTAATTACAAGTTCGACCGCATTCCAGTAAATTGCGAAGCGAGTGCGAGGCAGTGCTATCAGTCACCTCGAATCGCCACAGATAATCTAAGCGGGCGAAATGGCGCTTGCATGAGATTGGAGTAAATAGGCAGGATATTGGGGATAAAGAGGAAGGAGACTGGGATAATTAGGATAGATGGCTGGGATGAGAGATTGGGATAAACAGGAAATGAGTTGGAATTTGAGATTGGTGTAAATAGGAAACAGGTTGGGGGTAAATAGAGAGTAGATTGAAATAGTGGGAGAAATGGTTGGATTTATAGGATGAGTGTTTAGGATATGATATTTCTTCAGTAAATAGGGTATAGGCTGGAATAATAGGATAGGTGGTTGGGATAAGAAATTGGTCTAACTGCGAAATAGGATTAGGATTGTAAGATAGATAGTTGAAATTGATCAGAAATAGGTCGGGATGAAAGGTTAATTGTAGGGAATAAGAGATTAGGGTAAATAGGGAGTGGGTTGGGGCAAGAAATGGGGAAAATTGGTTGGGTGATTATTTGGGGTAAGAAGACTTGATAAATAGGAAAGATATTGGATAAGATTGTGGGCAATGTACAGAAAACAGATTAGAAAATAAACTCATTACCTTGATTCAGTTTCCCTTTACAGACCAACGCAGATCCATCAGGAAAATTCAAAAAGAAAGTAACTGATTCCTTAATTAAAATCTCTTAGATTACTAAAAATCCACCAGGAAACATTTAGAAAGTCAATATTCACCTTTTTCAAAATCTAAGTCAAGAGTTAAATCAAATCAAATCCAAAACCAAATGAAATGAACTAAATCAAATTCATTAAACCTAGATTAAATATAAGGACTCAAATTAATTCAGAGTCAAGTTAAGAATTAAACCAAATCAAATCCAAAACCAAATGAAACGAACAAAATCAAATTCATTAAACCTATATTGAATAAAATAACTTAAATTAATTCAAAGTCACTCACCATAAATTCTTTCTTGACAGACCAACGTCGTCGATTTCATTCGCAACAAGATCAAGGTGCAAGTCGACGAGGAGACCTTGCACACCATCACGGGCATTCTGGACGTCAATTGCCACGAAGTCAGAAGTAATATACCCGGTGAGTGGGTTGGTGGGGAGGGGGTGGTGGGGAGAGGGTTGGTGGGTATATTCATCCACCCATTCATTCGTTTGTATATCTACCAGGTTGTCAATAACTTCATTAATTTATTGTTTTACACGCGCCACTGAGCTATCAACAAAGTCATTCGTCCATCTATTCATTCATTAATTTACACCAGGCTATTAATATCTTCATTCATTCATCCAGCCATTCATTCATTCGTTTGCATATCCACCAGGCTGTCAATAACTTCATTAATTCATTGTTCTACAGACGCCATTAGGCTATCAGCAACTCGTTCTTTCGTCCAGTTATTAATTCATTGATTTCCACACGTCAGCAGGCTATCAACATCTCCTTCATTCATTCATCTAGCTATTCATTCATAAATTTACACATCCACCAAACTATCACAATCTTCATTCATCCATCCAGCCGCTCATTCATAAATTTACACACGTCGTCAAGCTTTGACCAACTCATTCATCCATTTACACACACCACAAAGCAATCAACAACTTCACCCACCCATTCATTCAATTTCCACACATCGCCAAACCTCTCAACAATTTCATTCATAAATTTACACACGTCGCCAAAACTCTCAACAATTTCATTCATAAATTTACACACGTCGCCAAAACTATCAACAACTTCATTCATTTATTCACACACGTCGCCAAAACTCTCAACAACTTCATTCATTCATTTACACACGCCACCAGGCTATCAAATCTCTGACTAACTCCCCCCCCCCCTGGCCCTCTCCGCAGGCACCAAGGACCAGTACCGAGTGCGGGGCATCTACCCTCTGTGCGCCATGATGTCTCACTTCTGCTCGTGCAATAC